GACGTTCGTACAAATTTCTGTTTGTATTCAATATAATAATAAAATTGGTCTTTATTCTTTAAACGTATTCACTCTTCTGTTACATCTGTTAGGATAAAAAGGGGATTTTGTTACAAAAATTAATTATATTTCTTTAGAGAACTATGTTTTGCTGAACCTACGAAACAATTCACAACTGGATTTCGAGGCTGTAGACTCATGACTTGCACAATTAACGAAAACGTTAGAATAATTCTCTTTTAAGCGAGCAGAAACATTACTTTAGAATATACATTTATACTGACAAATACACTAGCTCAATTTAAATTAAAATTTAAATAACATAATAATAAATAGTCTCTTGTTATTTTTTTTTGCCTTAAAATAAACATTTATTGTAATAAAAGTTACATAAATTATTTAAAGATATACAGAATAAATTGTTATTTCCTAAAAGTAATTAGAAACTATGAAAAGTGTTTGCTTAATATATCTTTAGTCGTGATAACGTTTTTTTAATTTACATAAATTAATAATAACATATTGAAGTAAAATTGTCATAGCATTGTGTTTTAAAAATATTTTTAAAGTTTCTGAAATATTTCTAATCTTTTATATTTCATATAAAAGTATAAATAAATGATGTAGCCTGAAAAATATTTTCTAAGGTAAAAATATAATCATTATCCTTCAATGACACGTATTAATTGATTCTATCACGTAGCATACTTAGAATTACAATTTTTTCATCAATTATAAATAAATAAAATATAATAAGGCAGGCGTCGTTCAATGTACTACTAATATTCGTTAGTAAACTACTAATCCAATGAGATTCGTATAACCGAAAATAGCACGTAACATCGTCTGATAAGGCATATCTTATAACAACAGAGGGAATAGGTGCAAAAGTATACTAATAAGACATATGCACCGTTGATTCTATTGTTTGTTGTTACAATGGTAGACACGGTGTGAATTATTTACACGATATAATATTCCATGACATTGTAGCTACAATTGTGTTCCGTATGAACTCTTTAGATATACTTATGCTGTATTAAAAATTAGCATTCCGTTTTACATAATAAAAAATCATTTTAATTTTAAAATAAAGCTTTCGGTACTATCATTTATTGTTTTATTAAAGTCAACGATATTTTAAAAATTACTAGAAAGGTGATAAAATAAATATTTTTATTAAAAGACAATAATTTAAAAAACATTTTTATTATAATATTTAAAGCTAACAAGACATCAAAGTAAGTAAAGAAACAAGTAAGTGAGATGCACTTAATAAACGAGAAAGACTACTTAATGTATATACATCGACTACCTATAAGAATAATATTAAATAGACCGTATTATTTCAATATATTAAATATTTTATGAGAACACGTTGTCGACATTCATTAATATTTTACAGAATTGTGAGGTTGAAATTTTGAGCTTTATAAGATCAAAATTAGTTATAAGAAAAATTGAAAGTTTCCTTATTCAATTATGCTTCTGCTCTACGATATATCTAAAAAATTATATTTATAAAAAATTTAAAATATTTTATATTAGAGTACTAAAAAATATGTCCTTATAAAAGTACGTGACACTTTCTATTATTTATTTTTGTAAGATAGAATTTTCTAAAATTTATAATAAAATGTTGAAAAATTATTCCATCGAATATGTTATAAGAAATCACATATTGAAAGGTTATTTATTACTTTCTCTGATAACTGTTTATAAATGTCTCATATAGAATTATTTTCCCAATAAATTGAATAATTATATTGATAACAATGAGATCTGTAAAATGATTGTTGTTAAAAAAAAATAAAAAAAAATTAATTCAAATCATTGAATTATGCTATATTTAAAAATATTGAAATATTAAACAATTTAATATATTTAAAGGTATTAAATAAATAGGCAAGTCGTTATTTTTTCATCGGTTATCATAAACTAAATTGAACGCTTCTTCTTTACGTTCATAACTAAAATAATAATGCTACTGGCACTTATAAAAAAAAAAAAAAAAAAAAAAAAAAAAAAAAAAAAAAAAAAAAAAGGAAAAAAAAAAAACAGAAAAAAAAGGAGGAAAAAAAAAAAAAAAAAAAAAAAAAAAACGCGAGAAAACAATCCGATGAAATTGAGGTAGAAATGCAATCGTCTTGAAAGTTAATGCAGTGTGGCAAGATTACGTAAAAAGCTCTTCGCGGTAACGACAAAAGAACAGTAGAAAGGACAATAGCCATAACCGCACAGTATTCCTTGTCTCATTCACGCATCAGTTTTATTGCGCGGCCCATACGAGCATTGCCCCTTTTCTACAAGCTTTACTTATTGTAAAGTGAGCAAGCATGCGTAAAAACTATCGCCTCAGCGGTTGAAAAGAAAGCAGGTACTAACTCGGCCTGTGACGAGTTCACAATGTTGCCACTGTACTTCCCATCTAATTTTTAGATAGAATTTCAAGCGCGTGACTGAAATAGAATAAATTGCAAACTAATTCCCTTAGGAAAACCATGCAAAAACTGAAATGCCACACTTGATTTTATATATCTCGATTCGCGAGAAATTCCAAATCTACCGTAACATTAAGAAGATTTAATTATATTCTGATATCTATTTTATTATTATATTGCAATTACATTATTTATTAATACTCGCAGTAATGATAAACGTAGTATTTCAAAGAGATGATAAAATATGTATTACAAATTAATATATTGGAACATTATACCTCGGCTATTATAATTAATATAATGATTAAAAGTAATTGAAATCTTAGATAGAAGCTTATTTCACAAATTAAGCTCGGGGACCTATTATTATTTTCGCTTTTTTTTTTTTATTTAAATTTACACGGTAATAATTAAGAAACGCTAAACTGAGCGTAATTTGCTATGAAAGTACATTCAAAAGTGCTATACGTAACTAAATTTTAAAGTTATAAACAAACGTAATCGTATGAATATATTTGGAAGAGAGACGACAATATGCATATTATAGGAATAAAGTGGAACAGATGACATGCTTCTGGTAACTTCAAACGCGCGCGTGCTCAGCTCATTGCCTATTCAATTGAAACCTAACGCCATTTGACAGAGACGTAATTAGTTTCCGCATTAATAGGCGCGCGGTCGCACTGTCCGATCCGCTTAACCGTTCTCCATTCGTACAGACTTAACTAAAGGTACATGACGGAAATTTTCAGTGAAACTCGTAGTTGACGTGATGGATTGAGAAAATAGCCCCAATCTTCGACCATAATTCAAATTTCCGATAATCTCCTACCTTTCACAAAAGGAATGACTAACTGAATAAGAGCTGAAGATCCGATGAGATTTTCTCCTACTGAAAACGTGTACCACTTTACCCGAAAAGTAATTGTTCTACTTTTGAATCTACGTTTCTGTCCTCTTTTCCCATGTGTGTACATATATATATATATATATATATATCATACTTTAAATATTTTTTTCACTTATGATATATGCAATTATTAATAAGAAGGACATTCAAAGCTATTATTAATTATTAATTATTTAATTTTAAAAGAGAAATATTATATAAACAGCTAATAACGTGTAAATTTTATAATTTTATATAAAATTGTGCAAGACGATTTTATAAAACTATTGGATAAGCGTTTGCATAACATTCGTGTGAATGTATAATCCTGGAAAATATTTACGTTTTCTCTCAATTTCTCAACAATATTATTAAATGTCCAATTTAAAGCTAATTTTGTTAATATCTCCGTAGGTAATATCAATAAAGAAGTAATCAAAATTCGGTAAACTTGCTTAAACATATTTGCAATTTAATAAGGACTACTGTAATTATTTCAAAAGAGGCAGTGAATTTTCTCTTAGAAGCACGTGCACCACAGTAATTATGAGAACAGTGACCGATTACTGAACTTATCTCATTATCGTAGGCCTTAAAATTCTATACAAAAGTAGGCGTGCAACTTAAGTGCATTGTAATAAAGACCGACGAGACAGACGAGACTCGTTGAGCTTGAGTCGATTGCGCTCGATCAATGATCACCCAGAGGTCCGCCTTCCCTACCCAATCGCTCCCCCCTGCGCCATCATAATTCGCTTTAGCCACTGTCGTGGGAAATTCTATTACCGGCAGGGCACTTCGTCAGTTATTCAAATGGAGTGTAAGAGGATTTGCTTTAGCAATGGCCTTGGTTAATCAACATGGACAGCTCGGATCCGCGACAATATTAACCAACACTAAACGCGCATAGTTTCTTCATGTAAAAGGAGAGAAAGCTCGTGTATTAACTCTTGGGTATTGTTTGAGACTTCCTGATAAGCAGATCAGCAGGAGAAAGAGGACGGAAATCTTTTTACTAGCGGTGTGATGAGATCAGATTGGACAAGAAGTCACGTGGTATAACGATAGGTGTGACCGAGACATAGCATTCGCAAAATAATGGGAAACACTTTGAACCATCACATTGTAGTAGTTTCACCAAATTGCTCTTCCTGCGGGAAAGCTTTTTATCGAACGAAAAAGAAAAAAAAACAAAGAAAAGACACATTTATGAGAATGAAGAGAAAAGACTCCTTAAGAGAATAATGTTATTCACCCAACGCATTCACTGAGGAAGGTGACGATTTTCAAAGATTACCTAATAAAAAGTGAAAGTCCAGTGGCATTTGCGCTATTAGGAAATATATAATACAAGTAATTATATACTTTCTTAAGGCGCATATAACAGAATGCTAATAACAGAATACTAAACTATTTATCTTGATTCATCTAGCTCAGATATTAAACATTGTGTCTTTAAGTATATACATAAACATAGAATTTTTTTGTTTCAAAAGTCTGTATCAAAATTCTTACTACATATTAAATATACCTATCATATAATTAACTCACTACGACACTATAAATAATCAATACAAAAAGTATTTGTTATTTTAATTCCAGTCTTATTTAATGAAGAAAATAAGAAAGATAAAAATTGTAATATAAAAATTATTTGGTATTATTTACAGATACTGGGCAGTCACAAACATTGACTATATTCATCACAGAACGGGGCGTCGCATAGGTATGATGATAGTCGTGGTATGGCTGGTAGCCTTTTTCGTGTGCATCGCCCCATTACTCGGTTGGAAGGATTCCCAATGGGAAAATCGAGTTGTTCACGATAAATCCTGTATCGTCAGTCAAGATATCTACTATCAGGTAATTCGTTTCTATGTTCGATCAGTACACTTTCAGTCGCTTGCTTGCTTGACTTTCCTTTTCAATTCTATAACTATAAGCACGATGAATACGGCAATTCTCTTCCACCTGACTATAAACTAAAAATATTTATCAGTATTTTTCATTTGTGTAATGGTACCAGTAATTGAATGGAATAATGTAAAGAATAAGTTACATTGGATTGTACTATTTCTGACAGTACTTTACTATATAAGTTAGTAAATGTTAAAAGACTGCAATTTGGCGTTCTATATTCAACTTTAGAATGCATGAATTTTGTAGATACTGAAAGGATGAGTAGCAGTATTTTGAGAATAAGTGAAGGTCCTTTCCATTACATCGTATTGAATTAACTTCAATAACTACACGCAATTTCTTTTCTATTAACTTTATTCAATGTAATATAAAAATTAATCCTAACCTCGCTGATTTTTCTTAATAGTTAGTCATTCATGTACGTTTATACTAAAAATAAATAAAACAGTCAAATGAAATTATATGAATTATATTAAATAGGGAAAGGAGACTGACTAGCAGAATAGGAGACAGATAAACAAACAGACTATATAATACTGAAAGTTCTATTTTTTTTAATCAGAATTATTATCATAATTAAACGTTTATAGCTTGCAATCAGTGAAATTTAAGTGCTCGTTTATTCTAATTTCTGCAATTAAGTTAATCCACTAGATATCAATAAAATTACGAGTACTCTTCACAAGTATAATGATCTTGCAACGTAAGCGGACACTGACATTTTTAATTAACGTTAAATTTACGCCTCCATTGAACGTAAATAACTTCATTCTTTATCGCACATAGCACATAACTTATTTATATGATAACGAAAAACAACTTTTTCACATCGTCACTTTTTAATGAATTGAAAGATAATATAAAAAGTATTTACGGATAAAACAATAAAAATATCATATTGTTTATTTATAAATACCAACTTAACTTTATCTTGTAAAGCGGTTAATTTATCAATTTAAAAGGCTCCTATATTTATTGTAAACCTGAACAAATAATTGTAGCTAATAATATATAAAACATTAAACAATTCTTAACTCTCATATATTATATCATAGCAAATGTAAAAAAAAACGTATATTTAATTCTCAAATTTATCGAAAAATGGAATACAAAACGTTCAAAGTAATTGCGTAAGATATGTCAAATAAGAATCTTTATATATTTTTTGTATACATCGTTACATTATGCATGAAAAAAGAAAAATTATTTTTCACTCAACCTGTGTACGATCAACATTACAATTAAATTTTTAGTACCATATAATATAAATATATTCGAATAACTGAATAATTAAACTAATTTAAATTTATTTTGATTATTAATAACACACAATAATTATAATACTTTAAATTTACAGTTATGCTTATTATCTATATAAAAGTCCTATATTCAAATTAAATTGATACCTGCCAACTTAATATAAAGTTAAACATCTAGAAATTATCAGTAAAATAAAGTTATCAACTGTTATATCAACTTCTAATTCATAAATTCTTCAATCTTATAAATATTTATATAGTTGCTTAAATGTAAATGATGCACTCATTAAACAAAATATAAAGCTTTGACGATATAAAATACAAAAAAATTGGGTAAAATATTATGTTGGCATATAAAAATGGTAAAAATAATGCATAATTATACACAATAATATTAGACATTATTTTATTAATTAATACATTATTTAAAAAAAAAATAAAAGATTAAATGTCAAACTATGGAGTATAAAATTGTTTATAAAATTATATAAATTATAAAATATAGTGGAACATGCATTATAATATAATATGAGATAAACTTTCTTGAATCACATCAAACGTAGCGAATTATTATTGAAATGTCAAATAATATCAAATTTAAAATAGAGTTTTATATCTCTTTTATATTTGAATAGATATATTACTTTAAAAATAGAATTTTTATAGAAATCATATAATAAAAATATAATTTATAACTAATTCAACAAAAAATAATAGTAATATAAAGAAGCAAACAGTAAAGTGAATATCATATTCTTCAATATTTGTTTACACTTATTTACATGTTCAGCTTGTTAGTTAATGTAATAATTGATAAATTAAATTATAAAGATATATATTTAAAAATATATAATTTCTTGTGTATGCCATTTTAAAATGTAGATTACAAGAAGATTTTTTAAAGTAATTTTGTATCAAATTGAAGTTATTCACATACTGAGTATAACACATACGACATATAATAAAATAAGAAGATAATAAGAAATTATAGTTAATAGATATATTATTTATTTTCACAGATATCAATAAAAAGTGATTTATAGAAATATCGTGAACTTTAAACTACGCTACTTCTTTTATAAAGTATCAGAGGATATTATTAAAAAAGTTAAAGAAATCTAAAATGCTTAAACTAGAGGTAGCATTTTAAATTGTTCTCATTTTCTATAATGACACTTTTCAATTACAGAATATAAGCTGTTAAACAAAATAATAATAATAATAATAATAATAATAATAATTATTATTATTATTATTATTATTATTATTATTATTGTTATTATTATTATTATTATTATTATTATTATTATTATTATTATTATTATTATTATTATTACTATTCGTACCTTCAATCAAATTCAAAAAAGTTTTTGGATCACACGAACCTACACCTATGGATAATTTTATAATATATTTATTTTGTACAGGTGTATTAAATATAAATAAAATTTTATTTATTCTTATAAAAATGGAACATGAACATTAAAAAAAAAGAAATTTAAGTATCTTTTTATTAATATTAATTATGTACAAAAGTTCTTTTATCTATAGAATACTGCAACTGGAAATATTTGGAGCTATAAACTCGACTTACTAATCTTAAAATGGCACAGCTTATATTGACATTTCTTAACCAAAGTTTACGAGTTTATAAAATTACAAAATATTTGTTCAAAATTCAAAATAAATAATCGATTTAATGTCATATAATTTCAATATTATTAAAAATTCATTCATATTAACTTTAATATTATTATTGCAAAAAATATTCCAAAATAACAGTTTAAATAAATGAATTGATAAATTGATTAAATAATTTAGGAAATTATCAATAAATTAATTTATTCTTTTAATCTTTGAAGTAATTTATGTTCACTAAATAATAAATATTATGATTAAAATTATTAATTTCTACATCTACTTTTACAAAATTTAATATATGACAATATGTTTATTATTAATGCAACTGAATCAAATACTTAAATTAATTAAATAATAAATTAATCATATTTTACAAAGTTCAAATTAATTTTTAATACATTGCAGATTCATTCTAATTTTTTATCGCCGAGTACTAATAATCGAGAACGAGTGAAATTTTTATTTAATATGTTAACAAAAGAACATGTATTTGCTTTATTTGCTGTATTTTGAAAGCTCAAAAAGTAAATTTTCTCTGTTTCAGATATTTGCCACGGTATCGTCATTCTACTTACCACTATTTGTCATTCTTATACTTTATTGGCGAATATTTCAAACTGCGCGAAAGCGCATTCGTAAAAGAGTAGGCCAACCTGTAAATACTCAAGGTAATGCAGAATTTAAGGTTTCATACCACCACCTACTCAAACAAAAATTATCTGACGTATACTAAAGTTTTTAAATGTATTATACTTGAAAGTATGAAAAACATGAATTGTAGAAGTTCGTCGGAGCTTTAACAATCCGTAATAATTCGAATTATCTTCTGTTAGCTTCTGTTCTACCTACTATACTTATCGGCAAAAGTATTTTAATTGTTTATTAAATGTTTTAAACAATGTTCTTAGAAAATATACATTAATGTTGTAAATTAACTAAGTAATTTCTATTGTATTTAAATCAATGATCTTGGATGTGAAATAAAATATTCGATTATATTAGTCTTTGATTTAAATTATGATGACATGAAATACTGCTACTAATAAATACTTTAACCATCAGAACAATTGACAGAACAACATCCATATTTTCTTCGATTTATATTACTGATATCTAACACATAAAATTTAATAATCAATTAAAATCCTAAGATACAATACAACGAAGACCAAGAATACGAAGGCGCTTTCTATTACTGGTAATTAAATAAAGATTCAAAAAGTTTTGTAATAATAAAATGTAATAATAAAATTAACATTGATGAGTACATAAATCAATCGGCTTGATTATCAATTATCTATAAAGTGACCGAATCAAAAGCTCAAAATGAAATTCAGGTATAAATCAAAAAGCAAAATCTCCCACACGCACACAAGGTGAAACCTGCCTCGAATACACGATCGCGCGAAGCAATACAGACGTGAGTGCTTACACAACACGTATAAAGCAACAGCAGAGTGCATTATATTTAATCGCAGCAACCAGACCAATGGGCGGACCACCGAAGCAGATGGGAAGCAGTCACGCCGTGGGCGGTGCACTCGCCCAGGCGCAAGCAACCGGCGGCATCGCGGCGGCCGTTGTCGCCGTTATTGGCCGGCCATTGCCCACGATATCCGGTGAGTAAAACACTAGGATATTCCTTAAGAAGCTGATTACGTAGTCAAGTCCTGTTTAGCTCATCTCCACGTGATAAGCACTTTTCGTATCCCAATGTCGTCCCAGTGAAATGATGGCAGCGGGGGATATAGGTAGAGGGGCAGGGAGCGACCGAGGACTTGACAACGGGGCACGGGGCGAGCTCGATTTTACAAGTGGACGGTTTATCATTTTTTATAGGAGTATTCTAGACATACCCGTGCTCGCTTATATAGAGTGCGAACTTTGTCGAACGAATGACATTTACGAATGGACCGCGCGTGGCCTCGAAAATCTGTATTAGGTTGTAGTCTTATCACGCTTCGGTGAGTTGACTCTTGTAAGCCGTGAAGATCTAGAAAACCTTGATGTATTCTCGGAGGGAGAAACGCGGGAGATAAGTAAACGGCGTATGCCAAGTACATAAAGACGTTGCGGTCACATACCCGACGTGTATCTACCCGCGTACGACTATTGGATGGCAAGTGATAGGGCAAACCTAGCTTTATCAGGATTTTATCAAGCTTCGTCTTACATGAAAAAAGACGAAAAAAAAACATCGACTCGATTATACTAATGTCATTGGGTCTAAATAAATTTACGGTAAAATCTACACGATAGATTTAATGTAAAACGCTTCGGTTACTTGCATTCTACAAGGAAATAATATTACTCACACCATTAAATATATTGTGTAATTATAATGTTATTGTAATGAGAATATTTATAAACAATACCTCAGCGTGATTCACTATTATGCTGAATAATAAGTATGATATAAAGTATCGCTTAATAATAAAGTGACGATTAAAACAATTAGAATAAATATCCAAACAAAGAGCTAATGACATAAGGTGCTACAACATACACCGAGCGGTAATCGTATAAATCTCACGGGCATTTTCATCGGAAGCTGTTTAAACGCGATGAGACTTATTATTAAATATCCACATAGTCAGCAGCTGACTAACACACGCACGCGCTAATGAAATCTCTCTCTCTCTCTCTCTCTCTCTCTCTCTCTCTCTCTCTCTCTCTAACTCACTCTCTTAATCACAATATCCAGAGCAGTCGATACGACCCGCGCATCTGGCCCTCACACCGTCCAACTTTTCTCTCGGTGAGTTTGGCCCATTGCGCGCCACTTGGATCCCCGCGCAGCGAGCAACCGTACGTACGTACACCACGCGCATCCTAATCCGGCCAGTGCGCGTGTCTCCGTCGTGGCCATTGAATTTGCCCGCCAGGCCGTAAACGTATATTTAGATGATGCGACGGCACAACAAAGCCCGGACTAATTACGAAATTCTCGACCGAGCGCTAATAGAGTCCCGCTGCCCGATCCCCGCTTAGAGCCAACCTGGATAAATATATCGCCCCGAGTGTTAATCGTCACATTACCTACCTTCTCGTTGCTAGAATTTTGATTTCTGCTATGCATTATGCGCCAACACCCGCATGCTCATACGAGTGCGGCAACTCTAGGCAAAATTTAGAAATTATCGCTGCTGAAGCGGTTTAATTACCAGACTGCAGACTCGTTAAAATCTCTTAACTTTTCGAACATACGTCCACTCGTCTAAAACAATAACATATCCATATAACTTGCATATTTTCTATATTTATGGAAAAATAATGCGCGCTTTCTATCTATCCGTTAAAAAAATTTGAAAACTATTCACAATTGCGTCTTATGTGAGCTTTGCGCTATCGATGAATATGAAATTTATTACTACTCGTATGAGCATTTCATTATAAATATTTGAAATTGCATGGACAAAATGTTGGAAATTACTCTAGTATACAAATTCCAGAAATACCGTCGCGAGCAATAATATTTCTATTCATATCAAAGGTTTATTTGTTCTGGAAATGATTTTTATAAAATTAAAACAAACGATCATATCTCTAAGATAATATTTAGTTTCAAATGTTCGAAATAACGATGACAATAAATAGAATTTTTTAATCTTTATAGCCCCGGTAATTGTTTGGATAACTTCTTTCAAATGCAATAATTTATTACTACATTAATAATTACTTCATTAGCACAAGAATGAAATTCGTCCGTATTATTTCCACTAATAATATCTCACTTCTATCTTATATTCATATTCCATTTACTCTTCATATATTTTATTATATTCGTCTTTGTCTTAAGCTTACGAATACGTTTGTTATTTTTTAATTATTCTACATCAGAAAACTTTCTATCACATATCAGATATTTCAATGCTTTATCGATATATCTTCGTAATCATATAAATTAATGTTGATCTAGACTTTTAAATCCATAAGATTAGTTAAAATTAGGTAAAAATTATTTTTTAGAATAAAAAAAAACCAGCCGATAACGATACATTCTATTATCATAATTTTCTTTAAAATTAACGGTATTTATATTTTTAATATAATAGTAATTATAAAACAGTCTTTTAAGAATATATATTTATCGTCTAAATTGAAAGATTTGAGTAATTTATAGTAATCTCAATTATCCAAACAGGCATATTATATTAGAAAGTAAGACACGATGATACGAAAGAGTAATTAAAAAAAGTATGTACAATTACTTAAAAAAAAAATTACTTTTATTTAGTAAAACTAAATACAAAGAGTAGACTAAAAATTGTTTGAATTATTATTGCAACGATAAACTGGGACGTATGAAAATAATTTCTGATTTATTAAATGATTTATTTTTTGTCATTTCTTTTACTAAACAACCCCTAACCCTCTAGTTACATTTTTATGAGAATTGATTATGAAATTAAAGTTGTTTATGATTTATATTTTACAAATGAAATTATATTTTTCATAATTGTGTTATTTATAATTCAAACGCGCTCTTGAATACGAGTTACACTTCCAAGTCTAAATAAATTATAGTTCTCTAATAAAATTATATAAATTTTGAACATTCGTGTTTATAAAATTAATTTAATTTTATTATATTGTTTTTACATTTATCTTACTTTTCTATGAAAAAAGAACGACTATTTAGTAAGTAGTATGTAAACATTAAATTTCAAAAACAATAACAAATAAATCATAGTATTTTTTATTAATTATAATCTCTGAGTTAATTAAACAAATCTATACAGGCATATTATATTAAAACATGAATTATATTTATATTTTAATGTAAATGTAATAAAAAATGGAATAAATTTCAAACAAGCCATGAAAATGTTATTAAATTTTCCTATTATAGATTGGTTTAGACAATTTACTTATCCGCTGTAATTTGTTAATTAATGTAAAAACATCCTATTATTACATTATAAATGATCAGGCGTAAACAATACTTTCTTAATTAATACAAACTTAATTTGCTATTTATGTTTATTTCATAATTTATAAAAGATTTTCCTTCTTTAAGATCCATGTCTGTCGACAAATTTCTAGTTTCAACTTTAATTAAATTTTATTTTATTCAATCCTTTTGCATTTGATTTGTGTTTATGCCTTTATCGCGTTTATTCTATCTACGTTCATCATACGCCGATATTTTTCCATTTACAAACTATTTTCGCTTTTATAGATTTAACTTCTCATCTATCGAGTACTACTTCTTCCTTATTTTATAAACTAATACTTCAAAATTTTCCATTTTTAATATATCTTCTAAATATTTTTTCTTGGGATCCTGACACTTATGACCAAACACTTTTACTTACCCAATATCTGTCACTATACTTTTATATTAACCATTGAATCTTCATTCTCCACAGTGCTCTCTAATTTATCAAGTATTTGATAATTTTTTAAAATACTAACTTGGCTCATTTATTTCATTTATTTCTAACTTTGTGTGTTGATTTTGCAAGCATTTACAATATATCCAAATATTATCGATAACGATTAACCTTACATGATTTTTATATTACCGAATGTTTAAGCTTTATATATTAATTAACGATTCTGTTTATTATTTTTATAGAAACGTGATTATCAACAAATCATAATCAACAAAATTACGAATAGATAAAATGAACTAAATTAGGAATGTGGAATGCTTGAATAAAGCTTAAGCAATATCTCAAACTATTACGTCATAATGGGAAAAACGAGCGGTATTTAAATAATTTAAATAAAGCGCTTAAAACGAATGAAACCATATCATGCATATAATATAATTTCCGTAATAAGTACAAGTTTTGAACGAAGGTCCCGAAATTCATGCTAATTCTCAGAAACTACAACAACAGCATTTACCAATGTAAGCTCAACGAATACATCGCCCGAAAAGACGTCATACCATAATGGTCTTGAGCCCGAGCCGTCGACGATGGAAGCCTCACCCCGACCAGCGGTGGCACGGAGAAAAAAAGTTCCAGCCGACTCAAAACGAGAGAGAAAGGCGGCCAAGACTTTGGTCATTATAACGGGGGCCTTTGTCGTCTGCTGGTTACCCTTCTTCATTATCGCCATTCTACTTCCAGTTTGTAAGACCTGCGACATCAACGATTACTTAGTGGCCTTTTTTCAATGGCTGGGGTACGTCCATCCATTTTCATAATTTAATCGTGCGTCCGGAATTATTAAGTCTACTAGGTAGAGCGGTTACATCAATATATAATGATAAGCAAAGCATTTACTCACTATTCAAAGTAATGTCACTAAATTATATAAGATAATACATCGAGCTATTACGATATCTTTAATAATAAGATAATTTTACTAATAATATCATCTAGCCAACCAAACATTCATTCTAAAATTACTTGGTAAAATACTATTTCGATTAAATTTCTCCTACCCCTTTTCTATTACATTAATATAGTAGTGAATTTAAACATTCTAATATCTAATTCATTACATTAATAATGCAAGTTATGTTTTTATATCTACAGCTATAAAGTTGCAATGCACTTTATTCTCAAATATTTCTAAATAGAATTTATGAAAAATACAACAAATTGTTATCATTTCAAATTTTAACATAATTAGCTACGTACTATTAATTTTATTTTATTTTATTTGTTTTTTTTTTGTATTTTATATTATATAAGATATATAATTATATTTTTTAAATAAAAAATATGTAAATAAAATGGCATAAGCTATTATATTTTTACCTGTGGTGTACAATAAATCTTTATACATTTTGTACGATATATATATATATATATATATATATATATATATATATATACACACATATAGGTTGTATAAGTACTAAAATTTAAATGGATATAAATTATTTATAGTAATTTATATTCCGGTTATTTCAGTCGAGTATACTTTAAAAAGCATTATTTGGCATTTGAAATTGCATAAAAAAAAGGATTTAAAATTATAATTAATCTAATATTAATTCAGTACTATATATCCAAGTTAAGAAAATTATAAAAGTGGTGAAGTTAATTCTGTGAAAAAATGTCTTTGATAGTTATGAAAAAAAAAACATGTCTTTCAAATTGCTTTTTCAAGGGAAGAATATAGACCGAAGCTTCAGAAAATCAAAGAAAAGGGCTAATTTATTCTAAACAAATTTGTTATAATTATGAATTTCTGCCATAGTATTATTTATTGTGAAAAGTATCCTCAAACGAAATACAAATAAATCTTATTACAAGCAGAGCAGACGCTATGTCCGTTAAATAAACAATACAAATAAATAAATAAATAATAAAATGTAGCGTTACACGCGTCTTGCCTTGTAAAGAATCACAGCATGTCTCGGAGAATAGTATTAAAAAAACATTTTACAACCCCAAGAGAGAGATACATCACATGAACTTGTAGGTCACAGGCGAGTCCGTTTGCGCATTGTCAGAAAAATAAATCCCAGTACGTTTTTCCGCGATTCCTTTAGCTTCGGCTGCGCCTCGCCAAAGTACCATTTCCACTTGATGTTAAACTCGGCACTTTGTAACAATGTGTTCGCAGGTATTTCAATTCCACTCTCAATCCAGTGATCTACACGGTATTCTCGCCGGAATTCCGAAACGCCTTCAAGAGGCTACTATGCAGACACAGGCGAGGCGTCGGGCGCAGGATGGGCGTCCGTCATTACATGTAAGATGATTTTCGACCATGAAGCAGCATGTACGGATGCCCTTTTTCACTGCGCTTATGTATTAGTGTGAAGTCTATCTCCGTCATCTGCGCCCGTAGCTCGTACACACATCAATAGCAAACGCTTGGCAAAGCCCTGTAACGCTCGTTTCGAGTCGTCGACCCGGACATTATGTTGCTGGGCCGTTAATAAATATGATGAGACGAAAGTAACAATTAATGTATTCACGTGATGAAGATTATAAGTGTTTTATTACTTCGTTACTAAAATTGAAATGTTAATTGTAGGAGTCACGTTCGACTTGGTGTTTGCAAACGGAAGTGTCGTTATTGCGGGCAGAGCTCGTTATCGTGTTCCGTAATATAGTAATACTGTGGAAAAAATATTGAACGATCGTTATCTTGATACAAGTGCTGCTTATTAAAAATTATTCCTAGTTTTTGCTTTAAAACGAAAATTCAAATAATCGCCCGTACATCCAACCAACAATACGAATCACTTTTTATGCACCGATTGCATATAAATCCAAACATAAACGAAACCAGATTTTATCTTTCTAATAAAATTTCTAACGATTATGAAAAGCAGTCACACACCCAACACATTCGTTGTTCAAAATCTTCAGAGAAATAACATTTACAGTGAATTCGCATTTACTTTACGATAATTTTTATCCATTTTTCTTTCATTTAAAAGCCAATTGATTGGTTCGATTTAAGTTGTCAGAGAATCGACACATTTTTTTATTTCCTACAGTGTATAAAATGCGAAAATTTTAACATTACTGATTCCTACAATCGTCGTTTTATTTATAATACTTCGTTATCTTATAGTTATTATTTTCGAAATATTTCAACACATTTCAACGATTTTTGTAATATAACTGTGGAAGAGTATTAACATTCCATGGCTTCTTTTAAATTATAACATATGCAGATAATTCTTACGAGACTTAATATATAATAATAAGTTTTCGATCACATAGTCGAAAGCTATTTACGTTATGATTAAAAATGCATTTTTAGCCTCATTCTCTTCATATTGACGAAAAATTTCGTACTTTCAAGAGCCAATTGAATGAGCCCCTTCGGAAAATACTACATACCCATTGTTTTGGTTCAAATACGTCAGAAAAAATTAATATAAATGACCCAGAGTAATACTAGAACAGAATGATAATGAGAAAGTCTAACAGCATTGAAGAATACGCACATGCAGACGCCTCTTCTTTTCTTTCGTATAGATACGACATTTATCTGTATACATGCACCAAGTGCATCGTTGTGTCTCGAAAGCTACACTGTATGAGCTAAAGCTTTCCCGATTGCTAACGAGATGAAACATCATCGTCGGTTACGGCACTGTATTCTCCTTTGAGAGATAGAAGGAGAACAGAAGAACGGGTGGGGGGAGAGGCAATTCACTTCCCAAAGCTTTTAGATTTTGAGACTGCGCATAAGGGAAACAACAGCTGCTGCAAATTATCGCCGACACACACACACACACACACGCGCGCGCGCGCACGCACGCACACACGTAGCGAGATCTTCGCTGCGCTTTACGTGTGTGTCGTTACGGGGATGCGCATACAAATGGATACGCTCGTATTAGGAAGCGTTTGTAGATAGAAATACGTCGACAAAGTGTGCAACTAAATACCATTTCCAATGATTTGTAAGTAATATTTTTAAGCTCAGGTAAGTTATTGGTAAGCAGGTTAACAGACATTTTGTCCTCTTCGTTCCTCAAAGTCGTTCGAACATTTTGTGGCTAATGAGCGAGATATAATGAAAAAATCTTTAATGGCTCGCGCGCGATGTTTCTTTATATCGAGATAAACTTTACGAGATAAATCATGTGTATGATAATATTAATTAACAGCATGTAGAATTTGTTAATTAAAATGCTACATTTGCTATTTAACATAGAGGCGTACGTCAACAAGATTTAATAAAATCCTCTTTAATATAAAATGATTATTAATATTTACAGTAAAATACGAAGCCTGAATAAACGTTAAGAATAACCAGAGTATAAAGAATTTTTGTGAATAAAAATGATTGGAGGCAATGAGATAAAAGCAAAATGCAAATGAAAAAGGTAGCTTTAAACGTAATACGACATTCAAAATCATTAATCCGCGTATTTAAATGGCAAAGGTAAGATGACCCATCCGAAGGAGCTCTCGATTTTACGTGACACGTCTCACAGGACGCGAAGAAAGAGATGAAAGACAGAGCGCGATAAGCCTCGTGCACGCATCGTCTCTGAAATTCATGCTCGGCTACGCGATCCTGAACACGGAAGGATCATCGAGGACAAGGGAAGACGACGCGACCCCGTAAGCGCGCACGTACTCGCGGCCCAACGATGCAATAAAGATAAGAGCAGCTTCTCTCCGACGCAAGTCCGCGGTCCGACGACTACACCCCATCCCCACCCCAATCCATCCACCATCACTACTACCGCCACCCCCTGCTGTTCCACCTCGTCCGGCGCTCACTCCACGCCCCTACGCTGCTACCACTACCACAAACCCGTCTTGCCATTAGCCCCCCTTGAATACGCATATTTTTTCAGCGGATGTTACTCGAGCAGCCACTTTTTTTGTATTTGGAACGATGGCTTTAAACCGCGACCGTAAAAACGACCGCGGGAATTGAAAAATCCAGGGTGAATAATAGTGAAAGGCGTGAACGTTATATGGGGGTAAGAGCGTATCGTACGCGTTTACCTACAAACTGCGTGCTTGGATGTCAATTGTGCGGAATTTGTGAGGAACGCTCGATTTAGAATGAAAATCAAAATCAAGGCTGCGGAAGAACATACCAAAATATCCAGGGAACTCATCCTGACAGTCACCATCCTTCTCACACTTTTGGCTTTCATTTTTATTTCATTATTATACAAATGGTGACATTAATGTAAGTAATTTCATGGGGATTGAGAATACATATTGATATATTGTGGATTAGTATTCAGACCAAGAAGTTTTTCAGTTTTATTTTAATTTGAAGTTGTAATTGATGCAGACTTAAGCTTTTACGGCTTTTCTACGTCACTTGTCGTTATTTAATGATTTAATAATACATTTATGTCGATGGTATAACTTTCATTATATCATCAACAATATCCCAATTATTTCATGATAAATTTCGATAAATCAAAGAAATACATAATGTCTTGTCAAAATTGTGAAAATTGGGCTAAAGTTGCTCAAATATATACGATACATCGAAATAAATAATATTAAATCAGCGCTAAATACTCTTGTGTAATGTATGTAGACACTAAAACCTGTTTAAAGTAAACATTTTTTTTTTTTTTTTTTTAATTAACTTCTTTTCATATTCATTTAACAAATTGATTGTTTTTAATAAACAAAATTTTTAATTTTTATTTATCATCGCAGTGCAATAGAAAGTAAACTAATTTTTGGGAATGTACAATTTAGGAATCCACTTTACTGTCGTCATCTAATAAGAAATGATAAATATAAAATATTTAAAATATTAAAATAAATAAATATATAGCAAAATAATACGATCTTAAAAGTTTATAACTATGTGTTCGTAGTTAAGATTAATTTGTTCTTCCATCTGTACATATGAAAGTCACAAAATTGGTGCATAACTTGCACTTTTCAAATAAACTGGCGGCCCAACGAGATCCACATGAAATCAAATAAACCATCAAATTATTACATGTTTTGATATTTGAAAATTCCATATTCCATTAACGTTTTAAATTGTAAAATTCATTATTTCATTACATACGACTGATATACAGGTAATCTAGTATAGATAACTCGATATACAAAAGAAGAGAAAGTAAAATATTACACGTGTACATTATTATATATTTACATCTAAAACTTCCTATTTCATCATTATCAATCATGTTTCAAACAAATACAGTTCTAAACAAACGTTATTTTATATTATTTGTATTTTATATTATTATTGTATATTTTACATTTATTTCGACGTAATTAAATTTTCTGATACAGATTATGTAACTTGATATTAGTATTAAAGAAAAAAAGCTAAGAATGCTTAGTTAATATCTACAACTTTGATTATACAATGTAGCTTATGCAGAAAAGGCAGCATCTAGTCTCTAATTAACTTTTAATAAATTAGCAAATATTTTTTTTCATATTATATTAGAATTACTTCGTTATAAATGAATATATTTATTATTTTAGAAGGCAAATAAAAAAAATTTTTTAATATATAATCGTTTAAAAGAAGGAAATTAAATGATCGATTTCAAGCTTTATCGTAGATTATGGAAATAAATCCAACGTATTCATTTAGAAGCACAATATCTGGGTCTCGTGATCAACGATTCTATATATATATGAGTATTGATTATCGCGACTAACCACAACTAGAATCATAAAATTTGGAAATTCTCAATTTGAATTTGATAATCAGTGATCATATATATATATATATATATATATATATATATGCATACGTGCGCATGGACTACAATAACTTATTATACTTGAACGAGTGAAACTGCATTTGAGAACGTGATTTGATCGGAGTTTATTAGTGATAATTATATATATTAAAAGCTAAACAGAAATTTAATCAAAGAGAAATGTTTTAAATTATTAAATTATGGGGGATGGCTGCTCTTACCCATAAACCTTACAATTTCATAATATCAGGAAAATGTTAGTATAAGGAATATAGATAAATCAGTAACATACAATGTGTAATGTACCACAAACAATATAATTAATTCCAATTTTATTTGTTTTATATCAAAAATATAAATTATAATTCGTGTATATAAAATTTATAGATATTTAAATAAATTTGATGACAAGCTTATTTTAAATCAAGATTTAATTTTATTTCTTATTTAACTAATTTTTCATTAATTTTAAATGAATGGATGTGTCTGTTACAATCAAACGCTAAAACTAAAATATATACCATTGAAGAATCTGTAAAAATTAAAATAAAATTCAATTGATTTGACTCTTTTAATAAAATAAAAAACAAAAAAAACTTTGTTTAGCATAACGTGTTAGAATATCTATAAAAATTATCGATTCACAGTTTGAACATATTTACTAAACTTAATGTACATAAATTTTAATCGGTGTAAATTTACAAAAAGCGATATTGATCTTCATGTCTATATAAAACTACTAAT